TCTAGCTCAAAAGTCTCAGAGACTAATGCAGGACTAATTGATCTTAAAAGCCCCGTTGCTGGATGGCTCGGAGTCGCGCTGTCAATTCACGGGCTGGTTTCTATCTGCCGCCGCTTCTCGGCTTCCAGTTTGGGGGGGTCTGGCAGGGAGCAGCCTGGCAGGGGGGGTCCGGTGGAGGCAGCCCCCCCCCCCCTCCCCCAGGGCTGAGAAGGCAGCAAACCCCACGTTTTGTGGGGGCGAAGACACCCCTGTCAGGGTCTGTGTTTTGTGCAGGAGCAGCAGCGTTGTGGCACGGGGAGGGGGGTTTCAGGCTTCCCTCCCTGGGGCATCCATCCCGCCTCGGCCATGGGGCTGGTGGGATGGCAACGGGCTGACAACCCGCCCCAGGGCTGTGGCAGGAATAAAAAACAACACAGAGACATCCAGAGCTAAACCCCAAACCCGCGTTCTTTATTTCTGCAGGATTTTACATTGGACAGGCCAGCCTGAACCTTCTGGAGCCCACATGCTGTCTGTGCTGCTCCGGTCGTCGATCCCAGCGCTGACGCCTTGGGGGACCGGGACCACGCTCTGCGGGGACATCCATGGCCTGCGACCTTGTCGCTGCCTAAAATCCTCCGTTCGCTCAGGTTTTGCACGCAGGCAGGTGGGGAGGAAGGAGCTGAGCTGCAGCGCCAAGTCGTCGCTGTGCGAGTTGTGCCCCGGCCGTGATGCCAGGCACCATGCCGGTCCCCCCGCCATGGCATCGGGGTTTTCCATCCTGCTCTGCCTCCTTCTTCCCGGTGGTCGGGACGAGCCCCTGCCTTAAATTTTCCGCAGTCAGTAAGATTTTGCCATGCCCCTCACGTCACCAAAACGCCGGGTTTTCCCCCGTTTCCCCCGGCACAGGCTGGGAGCCTGCTTCCTCTGCGGTAGCGGCTCCGGATAAGATTGCACATCACGGAGCTTTTCCCTGTGCGTGCCTGTTGCTGGGACAATTATACTAAAATCACACCACCTGCAAGCAGTTAGTTAGAATAATAAATAAGTGATAGATTATCAAATAAAGCATTGGCTTCAGATGAGGTCATCCTAGCACCGTGTCGTGGGTCTCGGAGGGTTTGCAGGCTGCTTTCCTGCCGCTGATGGGCTAAATAGCTCTTGTATCAGTCAATAAAAAAGTTGTAGAGATTAAAGAATCAATTAGGAACTAGCCAAAGGGGCAAAAGCGTAACCCAAACATGCTGATAAAATCCAGTAGGTGATTATGGGAATGGTTCTTATTTCATTTTACTTTTGAAAGGAATAATTGCTCGTTGTAGAGCATGGAGCAACTTGGACTGGGTACTTTTCCAGCTTTACAGAGGAAATTCTAGTGTTCGGCTGACAAATGCAGAGGCATGCTGCGCTCTAGGGCTGGATGGGCATTTTTTGATCCTTACTTTGCAAAGCATCATTTTGTCCCTGCAGAATTGGCCGGGGGAGCTTGGTCGGTTATTTGGTGTGGCCTCAGCCCAGAGCATCCTTCCCCCTGCGGGCGCACGTGTCCGGGGTAAGGGGAGATGCTCTCAGGGGAGACGAGAGGGATGGGACCGAGCATCGGCACTTGGGTATTTTGGAGCCCCGGGGCTGTGCTGCTTATCACGCAAACTTTGATTAACCAAGTCCGATCTGATCAGCTGAAAAAGCACTTAGGGATGTATATATTAGAGGGGTTTTTTCCAATATTTACCACCTGGCCTTCCGTTTTCCAGGAACACACCTCTGCAGCGCCAGCCCCGGCCTGGGCTGGCAGCTCGCGGTCGGGAATTGGGCTGCGCAATGTCACGTCCTGCTAATTCGTGGGGACGTGTATTAAGCGTTAGTCTAGTGCAAAGCCTTGCCTCGTCGGGGGCCAAAAATAGGGAGCACCCACCGGGAGGCAGCTCCTCCTCGGGAAGGAGCGACCCGGGCGTCCCCCCCGCATTGCGGCCCTGCCCGCTCCGGCCGTTCCCGGGATGCGGCAGCTCCGGGAACCCTGCGGGCGAGCCGGGGGGATGAGCAGCAGGATGGGTCACTCAGGGTCTGCCTGTGTGTTCCTGCAGAATGGGGCATTCGCCAGATCGTTTTCCAGGGAGGAAAGTGCAAATGAATGATTGCTTTTTTCCCCTCCTTCCTTGTATTAAGATGAAATGTTTGGTTTTACAAGGGGAAAAAAAGCACGGATTGCATCGTTTCAAGCCATTTCTGTTTGGAGCTATTTCTGAAGGGGAAGCATTGTGCTTTCAAGTGGATTTTTAAGTCATTTCCACCTCACAAGAAGCTTTGGCTGTTCCCTGCTCCCATCCAGAGCAAACATCCATTTTGAGATGGAGCAGCTCCCCGGGAAGGGCTGCTCTGCCCGAGCGCTCGCTCCCTTCCCTGCTTAAAAGGGAGAGCTTTGCAAGCAAAAAAAAAGCAAAAAAAAAAAAAAAAAGTGAGCCATCCAGGTTGCTTTGGAGGTGGCACGAGGATGTCATGCCCCAGGGACAGCAGCCACCAGCGTCCCCTTTGCTGAAGCACACCGTGCCAATTCGCCCGGCCAGATCCCGCTGCCTGCGCTTCTTCCAGCCAAGCTCCCAGCTGCCTGGCCCTGCCTGGCCTGGATGCTTGTACATCCTTCACAAAACATTATTTTTATGGTGTGCATATAAAGCACACGCACAATGTACATCACGGCTGGGCTGGCAGCGCCTCGCAGCCCGTGCGGACAGGCCGGGAACGAGCTGTTTATTGCTCTGTGCCCTTACCTTGTGTGCGTGGGTGGGCAAGACAGGGAATTTGTTTTTCCCTTGTTTTTTTGTTTTTTTTTATTTATTTTCGCAGGTCGTATACCACCAGGCCATGCCGTGGCTGCAGGGTTGGTTTGAAGAACGTTGGAGGGTTTATCCCGGCGTGGCCGGGGAGGTGTTTGCTCCCCGCTCGAGCTGGGGGGGGGGGGGTGATGCAGGCAGGCTGGGGCAGAGATGCACCACAGCTAAAGGCATCGCCTGGCCTCTGTTTTATCCCCGTGCGCAAAAAGAAAAAAAAAAAAAAAAAAAGAAAAAAGAACCAGAACAAAAAATAGAAGCCTGAGCGCTAGCTGCCCAGCCGGCATAAAAGCTCTTGCAAAAGGTAATTTTGCCCAGTTAGCGTTGGACGGCTGCAGCCTCGGGAGGGGAAGAAATGCTCCGGGCTGGCGCGGGACCGGCCGCTGCGGCGGCGAGGAGTTGGGTTTCAAGTGCAAGGGAAAAAAAGAGCCCGATCCTCGCTCCGGGGGCTACGCGCTGCTAATCCCCTGTTTATTCTCCGTCTAGCCCAGCCGCCCACACTCCCTTAAGCTTTTGTTCATTAACAAGGTCCAGGGTAAAAAGATACCTCTGCGGCAGCTGTCTGCGGCAGCGGCGCGTGGTGCCGGCGCAGCCGGAGGAGCGGTCGGTGTCGGCACAGCCGCATCCTCCTCCGGCCCGAGGCAAACCCCATCCTCCCCGAGCAGCGCCGGGGTTCGGCCCTTTCGGGAGGGTTTCAGCTGAGGACCACGGCGTAGCCGGGTCGACTCAGATAAAAGTTTTATATTCTTAAGGAAGCGGCAACAAATAGGAGGGATCGGCCTTGGATCTGCGGGGTGAGCTCTGGCAGCCGACGCGGGGCGCGACAGCTCTTGCCCTGGGTGTGTTAACCCTACCAGGATGGTGTGAGCAACCCCGGGGGCTGCCCCAGCAAATTAATTGGCAAATTAATCTTTGTCTCCTGGACCAAATTCGAGAGCCAACTGCTGCCCTGAAGTGAGGGAAAGTGGGGTCGAAGTGGAGAAGTGGGATCTCCACGCTCCAGGTTATAGATCCTGTTTTGCTCCCAATAAAGCGTTGAAAGAGGCAAATCCCTTGTATATAAAATAATAATTGGTAGTAGTAATTTATCATTAATCAATAATAATAATGCAAACGCTGAGCGCTAAGGCAGATAAATATACTCTGAAAATAAAAGGCCAATCTGTAAGGCTAGGTAGAATTGTTCTTATCTCCCGGAGTAGAGTAACTTTTATATCAGGCTAAGAAGGTCTTGCAAAACTTTAAACAAATTCACAGGTGACTGAATTTATATGACTTCAGTCTCTGAGATGATCTCGTCTGTCCCCGAACGGAGGGGAGATGCTGCCTGTACCCACAATGGTTGCAGCACCCACATACGTACAAGGGTTGGAGCGGCTGCATCAGTCCTGCCTGCAAGGGAGCGCCGCGGGAGCCGAGCTTTGCCCTTCGAGCAGGACCTGGAGGCCAAGAACCGACTCCAGAAAAGTCGGAAATTGAGTCAGAAGACAAGGATGAGAAGTTGTGCTTCTCCCTGCCTCCAGGAAGGCCTCTGGCTCCTTTGGGAATGACCACACCGCTCTGACAACCCTTGCCCCGAGACCCCTCTGCCGAGCCGAGCACTTGCCCGGCCGGAGACTCGCCGGACGTGCTGCTCGGCTTGGTCAGCTCCTTGAGACGCCCCAGCGTCCCTCCCCGCTCGTTCCTTTTCTCTAATTAATTGTGTTTTCTGTCCTTTTGTGGGGCGGGCGCGCGCCGGCTGCGGAGGGGCGAGCAGGGAGCGTGCAGCTGTGGGCTCGGCGGCGCAGCAGCCATCTGCAGCCCCCGCCTGGGGAAAAAAGCCTCGCAGCTGCGTGCGCCTGGTACCGGCGGTACCCGGACGAGGTCATTCATCACCAGGAGCCCGGGCAAGGAAGCTTGGCAGGGAAAAGGAGGACGGCAACCCCAGGAGGCAAATCTTGCAAAATGCTCAGCGGCAGCGGGTGTTGGATCCGCAGCCTCGGCGCTTGTTTCCTTTTGCTGTTCTAGAAGGGCAGGATGCGTCCCTTGTGTCCCCTGGGGGACGGAGCAGCCCCAAGGTGCCTCCATCGAGCTGGTTCTGCCCGTCTGCGGGAGGAATGAGCCGTGCTCCGGGGCCAGCTCTGCCCTGAGAGGTGGGAGAGGGAGGTGGCAAGGGCATCCCCTCCCAAGAAGCATGGCGGGGGGGGGGGGGTATGAGCGTTTAAATCAGCAATGCAGCACCTTGGGTTGTGTTGGGTGGTGATGGAGGTGCCTTTCTTGCTGCCCTCATGGAGGCCTTTCCTGACCAGTCTGTAGACCCATCTATTCTAATAGCAAAAATCAGCAGGGAGCAAAATGTGCAAGTTGAGACCTACAGTTACTTATGGGCGTCCAGCTCCACTGGCTCTGGTTATGCGAAATGTTCTTGAAAGCTCTGACCCACTTTCCCAGTTGTATCTCCTGCAGCAGCTGAAGGTCCCCACTGTGGGCACCACAGCAGCACAGATGGCCTTGGAGCAAGGACATGGTGATGGGCCGAGGTCCCCGGGCTGGGGAGCTCACGTTTGCCACCCCAACCTGGTCCATCTCCCCAGTCCTCGCTCGGTGTAGCAGAGGGAGCCAGCAGACACCCACCAGTGATATCCACAGCATGCTCTGACCTTGCCTCTGGTCCCTTTTCTTGGCCCCTAGTTCACCAAAGAGGAGAGCGGGTACCAAGAGCTGCATGAGGAACTGGGGGTGGCCACCCCGAAACCCCACCTGCGGGTCCCTGGACACGGATGCTACCACCGGACCCATCGTTGGGGATGGCTTTGCTCCTGCAAGATGCGATGTGGCCACCTTCCCGGCAGAAAGAGGTGAGAGCCGGGGAGCACAGTCCCACGGGGGACGGGGGACAGGGGAGCAACGCGACTCGGTCCAACAATGCGGCTCCAAACTGGTTTTCTTTCTGTGGGATGCCCCGTCTTTCCTGTTTACTTGTTATTCTGGAAATAGAACAATAAATAATTTATCGCCGATCGGTTGGCGCGCGTCCGACCTGTCAGTTAAGTTGATTTTAACTGGCCAAGTGTCAGGGCAAAAGGCCAGGAACGCTGTGCTAGGGAACAGTCAACACCACAATTATAAGATTAACACCTTGTTTAGTGGTCAGATACTGTCAAGTGGTAAAAGATTGCTCCGGTTCGTCTCTATAGAGCATCGCTCACAAATTACCTTATTAAGCAGGATCTTGCTCGCGGTCGGCTCCCTGCACCTGTGTCCTCAGATATTTCCATTCATGGTGGAGAGGAGGCCAACACTCGGCTGGGGCTGCTGGGGGCTGCGCAGCTGCGGGAGCATTATTCCCTCTTACCATATTTGCATATCAATGAGCCCCTGATTAATATTTAAAGAGCCAGCTGTCCGAGCCACCTATGAAAGAAAAAAAGCTCTGTGCGGTTTTTATATATATATATTTTTTTTTTTTTTTTTTTTTTTTAGGGATAACACTTACTGCCCTTTATCAAGTATGCTTCATTTTTACCCCCCCTGTTCTTTTATTTGAAAAAAAAAAAAAAAAATGCTAGGGAAAAAATATGAAACGCCATTAATGAGTTATCAGTGAATGAGTTGTGCTGCTCTCAATGCTTCTCAGTCCTTTTGTGCCATAGTTGCAGCTGCATCGAGCAGGTTTTTCGGGGCAGGAGCCCGGCGCCGACGGGCGCCCATGGGAACTGTAGCTACGGGCAGCGAGCACGAGGCCTGGGAAACGGGCAGCGTCCCCGCGGGCGGGCAGGGCAGGGGCTGCCTCGCCTTCGCAGGATGTATTTCCGTGCCCTCGGCTGCCCCGGGCTCGTGTCACGGACCCACGGCCGGGGCCGATGTCCCCGCGGTCCCCGAGGAGGGGGGGGGGGGGGGGGGGGGGGGGGGATGGATGCAGCGGCGTTGCGCTGGGCGCGGGATGCTGCTGGTGACCCAGCAGTTAACGGAGAGAGGCAAGGCACAAAGTAAAGCAGGCTAATCAATTGAAACGCCATCAAAAAAACCTAAGAATTGGTATTTCCCGTGCCTCCCCAGCACTATTAATTGCCAGGCGGTTTTGTTTCCAAGCTTAAAAAGCTGTCATTTTAATAGACTATTCTCTTGCTATTTTTTTTTTTTTTTTTCCTTGAGCATTTGTCAATAATCCTCCAACAGCGGCAGCTTTGTTATCCCAACTAATTGGAGTCAAGTAGGGCTGCGAGAAAAGATGGTTCACGACCAAGCCCTGGGAAAAATGCAAAAGGATTTTAATTTTCAATGAAATATGCAGATAAGTAGAAATTAACAGTGGGGAACAGGGTCTGGAGCCTGCGTGAATAATGGTGCTGCTCAGACGATGGCGGCTCGAGTGATTTAATGAGGACTCGAGCGGGTCGTTGGCGATGCTGGTGGCTCTGCTGGGCTGGGGAGGGGGGGGGGGGGGGGTCCACGGACCCACCCCCCAACACCTGCACGGCCGCCCATGGGGAATCGATGGCTCGGGGCACTTTTTAGTATTTTAATCGCTATTTCTTGGGTGCGAGAGAGGTGAGCGAGCCGCTGATCTGAGCTCCGGGCCCGGGGGGGCAGTCGCGCTGAAGGGTGCTGGTTGCAAACGGGTTTTCAAAAGCGCTGGGATAAAATCTTTCCCAGCGAGGGGCTGTTGGAGGCCTCCCGCCGTGTAGGGGATTTGCTCGGGGCTGGGGGTGGGAAGAGCTGCCCCCCACCCCCCCACCCCCCCACCCACACCCACCACCCGCGTGGGGTCCCCTGAGGGCAGGATGGAGCCGGCTGAAGCGTTGGGGACCCGCTGTGTGTGTGTTGTGTGTGTGTCCCCCCCCTCCTTCTCCGGAGTTAACAGCCCCTTGGGGACGGGGGACAGCTGAGCTGTCACCTGTTGGGGCTCAGACACCGCAGCTGCGCCCGGCATCACCCGGCTGCTTTGAACCCGCCGGATTAGGCAGAGCAGAGTGCCACGCACGCACTTGTGCGCTGCATGCCAATGCCTTCCTCCTCCTCCTCCTCCTCCTCCTCCTCCTCCTCCTCCTCCTCCTCCTCCTCCTCCTCCTCCTCCTCCTCCTCCTCCTCCTCCTCCTCCTCCTTTTCCAACCGGCCACGCAGCCTCCCCATCCCACCATCCCATCCAGTTGGCATCTTCCACGCCAGCTCTTCGGTCCCGGTTTGGGGAGAGCCCCGGGGGAGCCTTTGGGTGTGCTGAGGGGGGGGGGGTGGAACCCTGTGAGCCAGCGGCTGCCCCCCCCACCCCCAAATCCCCCCGACCCCCCGAGCCCCGGGTGGGAGCAGCGGGGAGCAGCTCTCGGCTGGACTGGGCGCAGCGGTGATGGAGGTGGGAGGAACCTCTGGGTGAGGGTCACAGCACCCTCAGCGTTTGGGCCACTGGGATCACGTCTGCTGAGCTTTAGCCTTGTCCAAAACAGATAAAATCATAGGAAATTCCCGAGGGGGTGGGGGGAAAACCCAACATTTTTTTAACTTTGGGAGAGCAGAGAGCTCGGTGGAGGACAGACGGGGACATTGGGTGGCTGGATTCTCCATTCAACCCAAGAACCACCCCCACCTTTTTCCATCCCTCCCTGACACATGTGTGTGACACCTCGCTTCTCACGCCTCTGTTTTTTCTTGTTTTCCTCAATCCGAAATTCAAACCCACGGAGACAGACAGATCTGTTCCGCCGTTTGCCAGCGGCAGCCAAGTTGTCCCCGTGCCCTCGCCAAGCTCAGTGTGAGGGACCAGGACTGGGACCAAGGCTTGGCCTCAGTCCCCAGGGCTGTGTTTCTTGGAGAGCAGGATTTGGCCTCTGCTTTTAAAAGCAGAGAGAGAATGGTTTGGGTCTGTTGGCTTTTTTTTTAAAAAAAAAAAAAAGCTTTCTTCCCAGTACTGTACTTTTTAAATCACCCAGTTTCACTATCTGTTCCCCACGCTCATGCTTTTGGTCTATTTAAGAGCAAGAGTGTAACATTAAGGTGATTTATAGCAATCTCTGGAGTGGAAGGGCAGAGACTTCAGTATTTTTTTCCTTTTCCTCAGGTGAAAGAAAACCTCGAATGTTAACTCACAAGACATTACAACGACCGCTCCGTCAATCCTTGATTTACAAGCTCAAATTTATGAGTTAAAAATTATTATTCCGCTCTCATATATTTTCTCCCTTGGCCATTTTAGTGCTTGTGAAAGGTGAGGGGCTTGACAGCTCCTGGAAACAAAAGCCTTTAATATCTCCCCGAGCGAGGCTCTCCCAGGCAAGAAGAGAGATGCCAGGAGGGCTTTTCCTTCCTGCTGCAGATATTAGTCACTCTAGGCCAGTCTTCACCAAACAGAGCAGAAAGTTTGTGTGAGATAAGCCAGGACTAATTAGCAAAGTCCATTCTTGGTGCCTGAGGAGTCCACTGGGATTCTCCTCGGTGGCTGGATCAGCGCTGGGCTGGAGGGTGAGGCTGGGTGTGGAGGATGCTCATCACACACACACACACATACAACCCCTCCCCCCGACATTTTCAGACCCCTCCCAAATTTTTTTGGCCACCTTTTTTGACTTGCTGGAGAGGACACGAGGGGACTCGGGCTGCGTGTCGCGCAGCGGTAGCGGGTCGCCCTCCTCTGAGGTTCCTCTGGGATTATTTTTAATCACTTTGGTGAAGTACCTCCCCTCTCCTCCATCCCCCAAGTGACACCAACATTTTGGGCCTAAACTAAACTGGCAGCAGTCTTTAAAATATAACATGCGTGAAATACCAGGGAGCAAAAAATATCCTCTTTAAAGCATATGTTGCGCAGTGGCTTAGAGAGCTGGGGGATTAAAACCTTAGTGGAGTTTGGGAAATAATGCCAGAGCCCCTGCTGCACTTCATTAAAGTACATTTTTGACGCAGCTTGCCTTATTCAATAACAATTTATTTGACCAAAATCTGAATCGAAAGGGACAGGCAACTGTGTAGCATTTTGTTGCATTTTCATTTTCAGCATTTTTTCATGTCAATTTGCCATCTGCTGCCCCAGCGGCTGGAAGGCGGCTGTGGGCCAGGGGCGAGGCTGAGGGTTTGTGTGTGTGTGTGTGTGCGTCCCCAAAAAAAAAAAAAATGGAAAAATCAGATGGAGTTGCAGTCAGGCTGGTGGTCCTGTGGGGTCGGCAGGGCTGGATGCTGAGGCTCGCAGCCATGCCCACCTCCCCATCAGCTTCTCTGCTCAACCCACAGCCATAAACCCCACTCATGGATCCTAAAAGCGTGCTCTGGCCGGCGGGTCCGTGGGGTGGATGAGGCTTGGCCACCATGGCCAACCTCACAGCGGGGATGCTGGGCTGGCTTCTGGTTTTACTGGCCACGAAAATGAAATGCGCATTTTTGGGTGGTTTGAACGGCAAAGCAGAAAGGAAGAGTTTTGCTGACCTTGGGTGCTTCCTGAGGAAATTCCCATTTTGAGGAGAAAGGCGGTTTGCTGTTGGAAAACATGCTTGGAAGGAGAAGGAGCAAGGATGACTTGGTCTGCGCTTTACCCACAGGAGGGACTGCAGATGGTCTTGGCGTAAATCCGTCACTAAGGACATTTTGTGGTGCGGGGGACAGAAATCCCACAGCCCAGGGTTGGCATTACCGACCCAGGGAAACTCCAGCAGCTCTGAATATATTTGTGTTTGGTATTTCCAAAACCCTTGAAGGCAGGACTTCGTGTTATGGAAAGTTCATTGGGAGAAAGGAGCCAATTTCAGCCTGGAAGGGCACGAAACGGTCCCTCAGATGGTATCTAATTGTTTTCATCTCCTTCCTCTGTTCCCTCCTAAAGTCGGGCAGATTTTTCTTCCCACAAATTGGCTCAAAAATAAAAAAAAAAAAAAAA